GGTCGAGTAATAGCAGGTTTCAGTGGTTTCGACCTCCCAGTTCTGTTCGGAGTCAGGGTTTCTTCTCGATAGTAAGACTTTCCTCTGACCGACCGTGCTGGTGATCTCGATGCTGATTTCCGCGTTGACACCTGAGGACTATTGACTAGAGTCAGCCAACTATCACGTCCTAACAGTGCGGTGGTAATTACCGTGATGCTGATTGGGAAGATGAGTCTTTCTTCGCTCGTAAGCGCAGGCTGTGTCGCCGACCGCCGTTCCAACCGGACCCAAAAGTGCGGGTTAACGGCTGGGTAGAATGATCAGGACTTTGACTGCACAGGTCTCGAAGCAGCGGAGGACGAAAATGAGGGTTTTGAGGAACGAATTGCTCGGCTAGAACGAAATGATGTTCTATGTTCGTATCTTCAATTGTTTCCGCATCGGAGTCGCCGAGATATTCCATCGCGCAGGTTGTTTTCTATGGCAGAAACGAAAAGGGCGGCAAGCAAACAAAAGTGATGTAACAAGGAGATTCACGACGTGAATGAGAAATGAGGTGAGATTTGGCATTATCGTGTCGCGTTACTTAGTCAGCATTGCTGTGGACTTCCCGGCTTAGCAATGTTTGGTTCGGTGCAATAAGCGGCACGGGCTGCAATGGTGGGCTGGATAGATGGTGGCGCGTGCGTAACGTCGTTCTGCGGGTACACGTTATGTACATGCCCCTCAGGTGGTAGAGAAATATTGCCATGGTATCCGTATGTAAGGCAAGGTGGGTGGAGAATGCACCCTAGCTGCATTGCGGGGCGCCGACGAGCGGCAAACGACAGGCTCAAATACGTGCTGAAATGCAACTGGAGTTGATGCGCCTGAACGATAAGTAGGCGAGCAGTACTTCACTAGAGGCTGGTCGGTTTCTCGTCTGTATTGGCATTCCCATTCACTATTTCCATCATGGCAGCACCGTCACTGAACCCATGGAAAGCTGCTGATGCTCTTGAGGATCAATATGTCATTCGAGTGCGTATTCCTGATCCTCTTATCTTCAATGCAACATCGAAAGAGACACCGCAGGGATGGCTCTGCAGGATTCACGAATTCGAGAGTTGTGGCACTTCCGAGGAGTCGTCTTCCACTCCTGGCCCTGAAGTTGGACCGACCGGCGGAGTTCTTCTATTCTCAGGCCCGAAGAATCTCCATGAGAAGCTGCGCGCCAACATACCTGACGGCTTCCTAGCCGGCCGCCAGAAGACATTGAATGACATCGTTTTTGGGCCCAAATTCGGCCAGGTCAGCAGACACCATTTCGCCGTTGGTATTTACAAAGACCAATGTGTCGTCTTCAATATGTCTCGAAACGGCACGTGGGTGAACGGAGATTACCTCCAAGGAGAGAACAGCCTGATGGCACTCAACCCGGAAACGGAAAGCGAGATACGTCTGGGCAACCCGCCCTTTTCGCTCTTCATACGATGTCAACACCCAAATATAGCACGCCTCAGAGATCTTTGGCCGAATCGCGATACTACCTTGTCAGAAGTCGATAACACGTCCCAAGGAACGACTGTCGCTACAACGAACCATCTTGGCGGGGGTTCAGGCTTGCTGCGCATATATTACCTCGAGGATCGCAAGATTCCCAGTCGGACAGGGGTGAAGAAGATTCTTGCTTTGAATGCCAGAACCTGCGATCTTCACGTCGCGAAGGCCTACCCTATTGCAGACAGAGACAAGTTACAAAAGCGGATCGAGCTTCTTGAGCCGTTGCCTCAGACGCATTCCGGGCCATTCCTACAAGATCACGCCCTCATCTTAGCGGAGGACGCAGTATACCTGCTGTCGCCTTACTTGGAAAACATTCACACCTTACGAGATGTCACCGACTTTGGCAAAGAAAACAGACAGACAACCAGGGAACGCCATGCTGCCGCGCGACAGCTCCTGAGAAGCCTACTCAAAGTTGTTTCGCTGCTACATACACGCTACATGGTCTCACATGGCGACTTGAGTCTACGGACTGTGTTTTCCGGGTCTCTTTACGACTGCGAACAACTCTACGTTGCCGGTTTCTCCGAGGCAGCCTCGCTCACCCCCACCCGTGCTAAAGCAGACTGCCTCGCGATTTTCAACATGGTCGCGGACTTCCTGGGAGAGGGCCCTCACCAAGGCTGGCTTGCCATAGAGTTGCTCGATTCTCTCTGGGACCAGTCGAGACTGCTTCGCAGCGGAAGAGCTTGGCCCTATTCTGTTACGCAGGTCTGTAATCTGCTTGACTTGACTTACGACGCTGACGACGCACGCTGGAAACGAATCACCGTATCGAAAGATGTCATGATCAGATATCAACGCGAGGGCAGAATCTTGCGTTACCGGGCTGATGACATCCAAGACTTCGCCGCCCTGGCAGCCATGACAAGCACTATAGCGGAACCCGCGAGTGCGCAGAGAAACATGCAGACTGCCATTTCTGTTCTGCGGCGATTCATCAAAGAAAAGGGCGTTCGGGACCACTTGTCACAAAACGATTTCGACGCGTTCTCTTTGCACATGACTCGGCATCACAACTTGAGTATCTTCCTACAGCCTTCGTTGAGGCGAGAACATTATACGCTGAGGAGCACGTCTCTCTTCTTCGTGGCTACCATCAACTTCAAGATACCGTATCAGACCCAATTCGGGTGGATCAATCTTTCGAGTCTTCGACTGCTAGGCCCTTTGGACTTGACGACCTCGATTCGTGGTCTCCTCGAAGATTGCTTCGAAGTGAGAGGCCATTGTGGCGGGGTCTACGTTACTGTCGATGACCACCTTGCAAAGGCCGCGGAACTCCTTGGCGTCAGATACTCAGACGACGAACTAACCAACCATGGCAACAAAGAGCTTGAGCGATACACATGGGCAAAGAAGGAGCCACTGGGGAAATTCCTTAAATCCCACATGCCCTACAATCCTCTCGACGCATTTGTGGCACAAGACCCCAGAGACCTGTTGGCGCCTCATACGATGACAAGCTCGACTTATGATGGAACATTGGAGTCTAGCGAGTCTGGAGCATCTTCGCTGCCAGCGTGGGGGCGGCCGGATAAAGGATCGAATCATGTTGAGATGACCTCCAAGTGGCTCGAGACAACCGAGCATATTTCGCGCAGGCGGGTAAATCGAGCTGACATGATCAGAACTACCTTTTGTACGAAGTAAAATGTCATTTTCTTGGACGTCGCAATAAAAGGTGCGGCGGGATTTGGTCTAGACCGCGTGGCAGAGTTCTCGCAATGACGACCTCCTGTTTTGTAGTTTCAGCCCCTTATTTTTGTCAACTATCTGAGTAGCATCCAGGGATTCCGCGTTTGATTTTTGTTCACTGTAAGCCCTGTATTCGGGATGCGAAAACTTGAATTCTGAGGCTCAGAGGTGCGAGATGGTTGGACTCTTGACCCGGCTTGCCTTGATGTATCCATGCATCGGAGCGCCAAATGTGCATCTTGCGGTAGCCGTAGTCTCTCAATCTTTTGCGTAAGGGTTTCCGGAATTTTCCTAGGTTCGACCGACCCCGTTTAAGAAGCGTGTTACAAATAACATCACCAGGTACAGCATATGAGGAGACGGTTGAACTCCACACTCTAGTCACTGGAGAACGGAAAGGAGCAAAGACAGGAGCAACCAAACAACAGATAAATCCATCTGCGACCTTTTAAATTGATTTCTCACGTCCTACGCAGGGCCTAATGTTCCGAAGAATCTGAGCGCGGCCTGAAGAAGAGATAGCATGTTCCCGCTGCATCCCCCGCCAACACTGTTATTCCACAGACGCATAATGTCAAGCAGCGCACTGCGTTTGTTTAAATTAGCTGGAAGAAATCCAACAGTTTGTCCATCTATGGTCGCACCATCTCCTGAGAGACACGGTCGCTTTAATACTTCTTCTTGTGGCACCTCCGCCAAGGGTTGTCCTGTACAGCATTAAGCAAATTTTTCCTTGTGATACTGGTACCATTTACCTGTGTCTCTGGTGGTCTGCGGCTGCAAAGCGTACTGTTCGTCCTGAGATGAACCTAGCGTTTTGAATCAACCTAAGTACTGTGATAGGTGGAAGTAACCTACTCATTTGACCGGCGACAGATTCAGTTGCGTAATGAACTCGTAGAAGCAGAATGGGAAATTAAGTAGCTACCAGAATGTTCTTATATTGTCATCGACTTACCCTTGTCGCTTAGACGAGGCTGACATGAGCATGTAAGCGATCGGGCTAGGGTCTGCATGAATTCTGTCAACAATATCCTCTAGGTTCACCACGCCTGGCCGGCATGCCGACTGCTCATTGCCCTAGAAACGACGCAAATCCCCACAGTTGTATGGATGGGGTCTTTGTACCCTATCAAACTCTCTGGGATTATCTGCAAGGTCATCAATGGTCGCCAGGACTTGTTTCACTGGCGGCGGGTAGCGAGGCACCATTGGAAACAAAACTGCTATATATGCCTGATCTCAAATACAATGGTCAGAGCTCCGCACCAATGGCAGCCATTTCCTATCCGCTAGATAGTCCAACAGGCTGTGATGTTTTAGTAGGAATTACAGGCATCAGACCGCAAATCCTACTTCATGGAAATACGTACGCATTACCCGTAACGAGGTTCCGATCTATTTTGGGACAACAAAGAAGTTCGCTAATTATTCGACCTGCTGACTACGTAAAAAGAGAAAAAAAAAAGAACACTGAAAATGTTCGCAAACTGGAAACGCCGCCGCTTGTTCCATCGCCATCTTCACGTAAGTTCAAGTCCGACGACCATCTCATACTTTTCACAATGCTCTCGAGTGCCCAGCCAAAGTTTCCTTGCAGAAGTTGAGCCAGTGCCAACGCAGCTTGAAAGAATATGACGAAAACTGCCCATGGATAGGGCTTTTCTGCTATTCTTGCTTCCCCGCTAACACTCTCCGCCAAACGGCATTTTACCCCAGAATTATGCCAGGAGATGCCAGCATGGACAATGGTGTACTCGTAGCCAACGTTGTAATCATCTTTCGAGTGGCTGAAAGAGTGATGGTGAAAGATTCTGGTCATTGATCATTAGCAATGGAGACGTAGGAAGTCTGACTTTCGCAAATGACCTACGCAGGATTTCGGGGAGCAGAAGCCAGGAGCAGAAACATAGTTGTAGTTTATGTAAGCGCAGCGATCATCGCCACCGGAGTGAAGCTTGCTGACATCATTCGTAGCACCATTCAAGTGATTCACCGGGAATAGTGTCACCGGTACGGCTGCCGTTGGTTGCGTCGGGTAGATCTCCGTGGTTATTGGGCATGGCTGAGTGTTTTGTAACGGAGCCAGGAGCATCTCTTGCAGTAGAGGGTACGTCAAATAATCCAACTGTGAATCAGCGTTTGACCTTCCATAACCGTCGTTATAGGTCTGTGAGAAGTGAAGCTCCTTATCGGCGTGTTTTGGACAAATGGATAGGCCCCGGTGCAGGGTCTCCGTTGAGGCTGGCATTATATGTGTCTGGACTGAGGATTGCGACTGGTACTTGCCACTTTCTGCTGGCGTCTGCTTCTGAGCGGCGGCTGTTGAGTCCTTCTGTGAGACGCGTCTCTCGAGATCCTCGAGGCGTCTCTTGAGCTTATTGCCTACGAGTATTTGTTATGATGCAATCTTGGTGACATACAAAGAGGCTCGTCATGAGCTTGACGTACGGTGTTTGCGTTGGGCTATGCGGTTTTGAATTCTCCGGCGTCCAGCGAGGTCGGTAATCTTGGTCCAGTCCTCTTCCAGGTTAATAGAGTTTCGGAAAGCCCTGCTTTCGCTGGCTGGAGCAGTTTCTGGGCAGGTATGCTGATGTTCAGACATGGCAAACGTTGACGAAGGGAGCTGGCCGCCAAGTAACAAGTTGCTCGACTGAGGCTAATTGAAAGGTCTTCGGAAGTTTTTCAGGTTGGAAGAGAGCAATAACATAATCAGAAGATAGAATAGGTGAGGACACGATAGACGAAATAGAGGACCTAGCGAGGGTGGTGGGAAGGAGAGGGGTTAAATGAAGCCGGCCAAAGCCTTCACTCGTGCGAATGGGGTTTCGAGGAGATAGGCGGGGCGGGATACGCACCCTTCTAGGAATGGAGAAGGCTTTGTTTATGTGGCTATCACTGAGTTATCTGACATTCCCTGGCCAACCTGGGACAATAGGATGTGCATCTCATGCTACCTGGTGCGCTGAACTATACTTACCTGCTCTGAAAATGAAGAGGTTGGCTGCACATCTGTTTCTGTTGCAGTACACACCAAGAAAACGATTCGTCCAGACAGCACCGGGGGAAATTCACCTCAATGTGTATCTGGGGTGTATTCCTAGACGGATTAGAGCGTGTCCGTTGTGTTGAGGCGCCCGCAGCGACTGAAACGTAGTGACAAGCAAGAGAACTAGGTGGCAATGCCTCATGCATATGCAGAGAGAAGGTATCCTGGGTGCTGCCAGCCACCACGCCTGGCAGTCACGGCTTGCTTGCTGGTGGGTGTGGTGTGGATGTACGTAGATGCCAGACTTCATATGTTCACCTACGGACGGACCTGACCAGCGCGGAACGGAGATTTTGTACCAAAATTGGCATAACGACCGAGCTTGACGACTGTTATATCGGTAGGGCAGGTATGTTTGCGGAAGCAGGGCCCCTTGACTGAGCGGTGGATGTCGTGGCCGGCGCATACATCTGGGTGGCGTCGGAAGCCCTCTTAGGTGGCATGACTAGACCACCATCCCCAATTGTCTCTCACCTTTACACCTTATCCATGCAAAGTTCGCGGTACCTATCGCTAGTGCCGTTTCCACGCAAATGGCAGTAGACGGACGGAAGCGCTTGGCTAGCAGGCTATTCTTTTCATTTGAGGCGAGCACAGCAGGTCATGAGAGACGTGCCAAGATATCCTCAGGAACGCAGCCATCATTTACAGACGCCCTTCCCTTTACTGCCGCCTTCATACTCAGCTCAGTACATACCAATCTCCACTTTGACTTCGTCGTCAATTCTTACACCCCAGAATGCTCCATAACAGGACTCACCTCAGGAACGACATAACAGCCAACCTGACCGAGTTGATCTTGTGGAGAAGAGCAGTCTTTTCGAAAGCGAACTTTTGATGCGGAGAAATGATAAATACATCCTGCTTCTAGAATATTTCCGGGATGTTCAACTTGATCTGAGCCTCGCCTACATTAGCAACCGACGAGACGTTATTACCGAACACAGTCAGGCAACCGAGTTTACCGATATCACGATCCACATCGAGAAGGCTCCCTCTCTACACGACGTTTTCCTCACCCTTCTTTTGAGATGCCCGGCCATGACTGCTCTCACACATCAGCTCTCGATTTCCGACAATGCCCTCCTCCTTCAGCTGGACAGAGTATTAATTGGACTCTTGCCGCACGCTCCGCAGTTGCGCAGCAGAAGATAACAAAAAGGGATCGCTCAAGTATGAAATGTCACTTTTCACTACAACTATCTTCTGGTTGTAGGTAATGATGGAGACCCCGTCTGCTCGCGCGCTTTGCTTTGAACTTTTCGATGGCTTTCAAACACATTTGACGTCTTACGTCAGCTAGTCTTCTCATCAGAGAAGTCTTGGGCACTTCCTGCGATGAACTCCTGACCTCTTCCTGAAGCATCTCGCGAACGTTGTCGAATAACTCTGTTTCGCAATTCCTAGGTATCTCATCTCGGAGCAAATGGCGGACTTCTCTGAATACAGGCCTTTGATGCCGCGCTTCTGCCACTTAAGCGAAGATTAGCAAAGTTGTGGGATTAGGAGTTGGATGTCTACTCGCTTGTGTATCTAATGGCTCAGAAGGGTGGACCAAGGAAGGTATCTGAGTTATTGGTGTCTTTCGAGAAAGAGAGGCAGCGTTTTGACTAGCATTTGTGGATTTCTTCAATGGGCGCAGTGCCTGATGCAAGTGAGAGCGGCGCAACGATAAGTTGATGGGCTGCCTCTGCTGTGATACAACCAATATGATGAACCGGGACGTATCCCACTTTTTGCCATGTTCATGTATCATTGGTTGCAATACGCCTTTCCGTCCGGATGGACGACTGATAATACTGTCCGGGCACCACCCCACAACACCAAAAGCAGTTGTAATCTCGAAGCGGAGAAAGCGCGCCACTCAACGACTTGCCAATTTTCTTGGTCATTTCTAGGATCTAACAACCTATCATTCAAGCTGTATGTGGTATGTCACGGGCGAGGTGGCGTTTCTGTCACCCCATGTCAGCAAAGTATTGGTGCAGGGAAAGCCTCGACCAAAAGAGAATCTCCGGCGACACGTCTTTGACACTCGCGCTAGCGCGATGCAGTCGTAATAAGCACCTTGAGTCGGGTTTCTGGTTCATGTGGGTCCCACAACTATCTGTTAGCCCGCACGACTTTGCAGGTACCGTGCGTCGTTCAAGTCACTGGTACAAGCTCTTGCAAGCTCCGCCAGATGGTGATCCCCGCTATCAGGTGCAGCGCTCCAACACCAAAGGGCTAGATACTAACGTTATCCGTAGCACTAGGTTTGTGATGTCCATTCTTGACGCTTTCCCATCCTCCGCAAACATCTTGCTATTCACATAGGCGGGGTTTGCATCCACTTGAGCCGGAGCAGCAGGAGCGGACGTCACAGAACATGGTGCCTTGCGCTTGGCTGTCTTGACCATCGAGGTTGCCATGGGCGATACAACGGACGTCTACCACAGCGCATCGAAACACGGATCGGGTCTATTGCATCGACTGGCGTTGCCCCTCCCCCACGCGTTGACCTAGTTACGATGCAGGAGACGGGGCCGAATCACTGGGATGATAGGACGTTGCGCGAGTTGACAGCGTCAGTGACAAAAACAACCCGCTGATTGGGGGTTTGCTGCTCTATAATGCAGAGGCGGCAACTCCACGAAGGTAGCAGGTCAAATGCCTCCCTCATTCACGTTTCAATCGTTGTGGAGGTCTGCTCTTGGATGGCATGAATATGGATGAGACTGGTGTTAGCGAGTCACGCTGAAGTCACAAACAGCAAATATTTGCACTCATGAGGTCGAACGCCGCCGCTCTCATTTCTCAACTCTTCCCTCCGCTTCCTACCACTTCTTGCCATAGTTGTCTTCACGATTACCACTGGAAGCTGCAAAATTCCCAGTCCATCGCATCACTCAACATCCGAAATGACGGCGCTTATTGAATCGGAGCAAGTGATACAAGACAGCGATCTCGTTTCATTTGAAATCCGAGACTTCCCGCTCACTTCCTTCACTCGCGAACCTATCAGACCGTTCATTCTTCCTTCAAGCTCCTACAATCCTCGCTACCAAAGTCCACTATCACTAGTGACTGCCGATTTCGACGCATCATTTCAGTCGAATGGGACATTCGACACGAACGACGATTCAGTTTCTGGAAACGGCCTTTTCTCTCTGTCAGATAGACAGATCATGGATAAAGATGCTACACATCATGGTGACGACAGCATCTTCCATATGATTCCAGACTTTCACTGTCCGGCGGCACTATCATCACCCCCTCCACGCAGCCACGACCAACTACTGTATCAGGATACCTTCATTTCTCAGGGGGCTATGTCATCCCCTTACGTGGCGATATCACACCAATGTTGCGGATCCTCTCCTCATACGCCATGTGGGTTGCATGGGCCTCTTCCCTATACGGCCCCCCATTCCCAGCCAAGCTCACTTACGTTCCAGACTCAAATTGGTCCTCAGTGTAGTTCGCATGAGTCTTATCGCAAAACCCTGCCCGCTCAGGATATCCAACATTGCACAGCGGCATCGATTCCTTTGATAGGAAACTATCTGGAGCGTGACTGTGAAACGGCCGGGCTTGTAGAGGTGCCGTCCAGACAAGAGAGGTGCACTTACCCAGAGTGCACCAAAGCCTTCATGCATAAGGATCATCTCAATCGCCATGTTCGAGTGTAGGTTTTCATGATGTTATCTCTCCATAAAAATTGCTCTGATATCGCTTTTTTAGGTCCCACAAGCAGGATTCCGAAATCTATGAATGTCCCGCAGCAAGATGTAGCCGCACGTTCAAAGGGCGTCGCGATAACTTCAAGTCTCACCTTCTTCTCCACATACAAGCAAAATCCACAAGAACGCCTTACGACGGGAAAGCTGCAAAGTGTTACGATGAGATGTTCCTCCAGAAGAAGAAGAGGCGTAAGACCCTCAAGGCCGACAGGACAGCGCTGGTTGGAAACTGATCTTTGAGGAGTCAGGACTATAAGTTTGTTCTTTTCCGTGTCTTTGGTACTTTGGCAGCAAGTACCGTAGTATTTGAATAGGTTCCCCTTCATAAGGCTGCCTGAGATAGGTCTACTATATTATATCAGACCCATTACATTCGATTCCGAGTTTTCACGGGTTTAAAGCAACGATGCAGAACGGGACGTCTTAATACCTGGAAACACACACCATATGATATTCAAAGTCATTCTTGCAGTTTATTTGACATTATTTCAAATGTGATCATGAAACTGAAGTCCAGCTTGGTCAGTGGTCAGTGGTAAGCCTCCTGTAGTAGGTCCTTTGTCGCTAGAAACGAATTATGATGGGTGAAACGCGCAAACAGCTTTTCGATTTGTCTTGGACTGATGAGTCTTCACGCGATAGTCACATACACGCGTAAGCTATTGATTAGATGACAGTTGACTTCGTGCTTTTTGCAGAACATCTCGAGAAGGACAGGATGAGTCAGACCGCACTATGTCAACAACATCCACCACAGCGCATCGTTCCCAGAGAACCATGATAAAACAGCATCACCTCTCTAGAAATAACTTATCTGTTTCCGCTGCTCACTGC